ACTCCGACGAAACAGTTTGTCACAGCCCCTCGTTTGTTGTCCTCTTCTCTCTCTCTGCCTACGGTTTACCGGGCACTTCTGTTTGTGACGATATATATATACCGCACACCGTGTGTCGGAGCGCAAAGGCGGAAAAAGACAAAACCAAAAAAAAAGGAAACGAAGGAAGGAAGGAAAGCCCCACCTGTTCATCAACTCTTACGTAACAAGGCCGGCCACATGGATGACAGGTTGAGCGCCGGCTGCCCCATAGATACGTATATATTGTCACACTGTGAATCGGAGAGCTTTGTGACGATATAAGAAAGAAGATTAAAAAAAACGAATTATTTTTTTTCTTGTTTTCCTCTGTTTTTTTCCTCTTTGCGCTCTGATATTCATGTGACGACGATATATATCATCACATGAATATCAGAGCGCAAATGCGAAAAAAAAAAAACAGGAAAAATTGAATTCAGTTTTTATCTTCTTCCTTATAACTCAATTTAGAGCCTCTTGCGTACAAGGCCGCCCACGTGGATGGATATATTGTCACAGGATATCAGAGCGCAAAAGCGAAAAAAATATAAAAAAAACAGAAAAGTGATATATGTCGTCACAAACAGTATATATCGTCATATATATATAAACAGAGCTGGCCGGTAAACCGTAGGCAGAGAGGGAGAGGAGCACAACAAACGACGGGCTGTGACAAACTGTTTCGTCGGAGTTTCATCGATTTTGGCTGTTCCATTGCTCTCTTGTTTGCCTCTTTGCCTTTTGGCTGTGTGCAAGTGGGTCGATATGACACACGGGGGTGGGGGCAGCCGCCGCTCAACCTACATCCACGTGGGCGGCCTTGTACGCAAGAGCGTCTGAACAGGGGGAGTCATAAGGAAGAAGATTACAAATGAATTAAGTTTTTCTTGTTTCTGTTTTTCGCTTTGGCGCTCTGATATCATGTGACAGTATATATATTGTCACATATTGATATATTATATATATAGTCACAGAACTATTGACTAATATATATATCGCCAAATATATATAATATATATATATAGCGTGATTAGACATCCCCGCCTGCAACGACTTCGCATCCCTACATCGAGAAATTTCCTCCCTTCAACTTGTTCCCATGGTCACGAGCTGTCCTCTACCATGTTCTCTATTGCCATAAACAGATCTCTCTCTCTCTCTCTCTCTCTCTCTCTCTCTCTCTCTCTCTCTCTCTCTCTGTGTGTTGTCATATTCGCTATACACTCAAAAAAAAACGCATGACTGTGCTGAACAGACTGTTGCCTCGGACTTTCACCGACTCCTCTCTCTCTCTCTCTCTCTCTCTCTCTCTGTGTGTGTATGTGTGTGTGTGTGTGTGTGTGTGTGTATCTGAAGAATCAAAACTGCCAACGCTCACGTTGCTACTACAATTTGGGGTCTCGTCGCTCCCTTACTCACCAAATACGCAAAATGAGAATGAATCTTCCGCTAGAACATGGAAAGATTCATACACTGCCATATTTATCGTCTGTTAAGCATTATTACAGTATGTGATGAATAGAGGAGCGACGCATGAGTTGACGAAAACCACATGGAGGTGTCATTGAATTTTTGGCGCGGGATGGGAGAAAAGGGGAAGGGGGGGGAAAGGGGAGGAGAGAGGGGAAGCAGCCCCCCCCCCCCCCC